TCCTTCTCCTTGGCTCTGAGCCCTCCCCCCACCCCAAAACAACTCTGTCTTGTTCTCATCCACTGATCTTTGGCTCATTTATATAACACATCTCTCCCCCCGCCACCCCCCCATGGCAGTGACCTTGTCTGTGTCGTCTTGCTGTACCCTCAGTGCTGGCACAGCACCTGGCTCTACAGAACATGCTCAAATGACCCAGTGATTGCCATCTCCTCCCCTGCGTCACGTCTGCAATGCCGGGTCCTCTATCTGCTGTAAGGAAGGGACTGACTTCCCACCTGGGCCTGGTAAAGAATCCAGTCAGGGCCTGACCAGCCCTGGGGACCTCAGCACTGCAGCCAGAACCCAGACGAGCCCCAGGTGCCGACTGCCAGCTACAAGCCCTTTCTTCCCAACTCTGTTCTTGACAACAAGCTGGGTGGTGCCAGGGGTCAGTGCCTCATGCCCCCATGGTCTCTCAACTGAATTTTTTTGGGGGGCAGTTCAGGAGACAGCAGCCCTGGGTCCACACACAGTTTCAGCCCTGCCTCCTCCAGGAAGCCCTTCATGCTCAACCCACTCTGGGCTTCTGCAGCTGCTAGATACAGAGTAGAAGGTGCTGGCCGAGCAGTCCCTTGCGGCCTGGCTGAGCTCTCTGTTGCTGCCGTGAGCCTCCCCAGAGGTTTCCCAGATGGCAAGATGTGCTTTCTGCTTAAGGGAAACTATGTGGGGCCACAGTCTAGAAATGACCCAGTTACTCCCACTTTTTCGGTGACCAGACTGAGCCTCAGAGAGATCAACATAAGACTGATGAGTGTCAGAGACTAATGGATACCACGGCCAGAAATTGTTTTGACCCTAAATCCAAAAGTTTTCACTGCTGCAACAAGCCCCCCCGCACCCTGCGAGGCCAGGGCTGGGTATACCATGGGAAAGTCAAGCAGCACGACTCACAACTAGGCTGCAGCTGCTGCTGCTGCTCACTAATCAACAGCAGCTAGCCCTGGCGTCCATGCTGAGCCCAGGCTTGAGGTTTGTGAGATGCTTGTGGGTAAAATTCCCATCTTACGGGGAAAACAGAGGCACGGTGAAGTAGCTTATTCAAATTCCCTCGCTAATAAATGGGAGATCAGGACTCAGACCTGGGCAACCCAGGCCCTGTCTAGGGCTCAAGATCAAATCCTCAGCTCTTCTACCTCCCTCAGCTCCTAAAGCCAGATTACAGGCACCAAAACCACAGTGGCTATCTGCCCCCACAGCTGCTCTGGGACCTTGGTGCACTTAGGGGTGAGGGAGAACCTCTCTCAGCACCATCAAACTTCACCTCGGGCTCCCCCATAGCACTGTGGTCCAAGGTCAGACCATACTGTCACCTTCCCCGACTTGTCCTCCCACCCAAGCATCCTGAGAGGGGCAAGATAGAAATCATCTCAGAATGCCTGGGCGGGAGGACAAGTCCTCCCAGCTTCCCCCACCACACCATGCTGAGGTTGGAGGTGGAATCATGAGGCTGGCTGGCCTCCTTGCCTCCCTATGTACCCACGGGTCAATTCCCCTCTCCGGTCCTTGTCCTTTTCTGTCAAACAAAAGGCTTTAATGAAACCCAGTCTCCTTCATTCTCCTCCCAGCAACCATCCCCATAGTAGGCAGGCTGTCCTGGTGGCCTTTTTGTTCTGACAGGTGGCTCTGGTTACTGAAAGGCACTGAGAACCAAGACAAGAGCAATCAGAGGCTTTGTCATAGGGTCACAAAGGAGTGCCATTCTGTGGGTGAGGAGGCTTTCCAAAGACCCTACAGCTAGGAGACACACACCCGAGGGCCTGCCAATCACTGTAGAAGACACACTGGCACCTCAGTTTTCCCCAAGAACCCCAGGACATTGTGTTTTGGATTTTTTGTTTGTTTTGCTTTTGTTGTTGTTGTTGTTGTTGTTTTTGTTTTTGGTACTGGGGATCAACTAATTTGCCCAGGCTGGCCTCAAACTTATGTTCCTCCTGCCTCAGCCTCCTAAAGCCAGATTACAGGTATGTGCTCCCAAGCCCAGAAAGACATTGGTGTTTTTCAATCCACTTTATGGAAGAAGTAGCTGAGGTTCAGGACTTGCCTATCTGAGGATGTAATGGTGAGGCAGGTATTTAACCCTAGTGTATCTCAAGTACAAGGCCAAGTTGCCACCCTGGTTCTAATTTCTCTGCCCACACCCTCCTTCCTCCTTCTACCACCCCCCACCCCCACCAACAAAGTGGGGATGACAATGTAGCAAAACAGAAAACAGTTAATAGCATTCACTTGAGTTTTAGGTCCATCTGGGTTCAAATCTAGCTTTGCTGCTTTCTGGCTGTGTGACTTTGGCAAGTTCCTCCCCTCTCTGAGTCAGTTTCCTCATATGTAAGGCTATGTGAGCATGTAATGAGTTAACATATGCAAAGAAGTTAGAACTGTGCCTAGTAGAGAGTAGATATTTAAGTGTGTGAAAGAAAAAGCACACTGGTGCTTCAGGTAGTCCCAATCCCTCTGCATGGGGAAGAGATAGCACAGCCCCTCCCCAGCCTGGGCGCTTCACATGCCAGTCTATAGCTTCAAGGTGCTCAGATTTTGTGTAGCCTTGGGCAAGTTCCCTCACCTCTATAGGTCTCAGTTTCTTCATCTATAAATGGGGATGAAGACATCTGCCTTGTTGGTCATCCAGAATTCTGAGGAAAAATTGCCAGAGGGTACCCAAGGCCACTCACAGGACAGCCATTGTTATAATTACAAAAATGGGTGTGTGGTCAGCCCTGCCCTCCAGGACAAATAACACCTGAGGACCACAGGATTTTCTAGCCCTGCTTCCTGGGAACAAAGAGTGATAAGGGACATACATCTACCCCCTTGCCTCCTTCTCCACTGCCCTGAAAGTTCTTGGGAAGCATTTGTTGGATTGATAATCAAATGGGATAGCCACATCCGAGGGCCTTGCTTCTTACAGGTGTCTGTAGACCAGAGGCAGACGTCCCCAACCAGAGCCCAAATATGCAAACACTCAAAGCCAGTTGATTTGGGTGCACATGAAGTTTGAAAAGTACCACCCATGCTGCTCTCTTAAAGCTGGCCAGGTCCTCGGCCCCAGCGAGTGACAGGTTTGAGAAGCTAAAGATCCCAGCAAATGCCCCTCTCCCAGATGTCTTCACCTAGATACCAGCATCCCCATCCCCAAGGCTCCCACAAACAGAGCTCAGGAGAGGTGGTTAGGGGCACAGAATTTCAAAGCCACCTTCCCTGGTCTCAAATCTCAACTCAGCTGCTTTGAACTCGGGCCTAGTTAAGTTCTCTGCCTGTTCTTCATCTCTAAATGGAGATGAGTCTGGCTGTTTCACAGGGTCATTGCCAGTATCCAATAAATTCTTGTAGTTACTATGTTTAGGCTGGTGCCTGGCACAGAAAAACCAGCCCTCGGTAAGTGTCTCCTGTGATAACGAGTGGTCATACTTATTATCTGATCACCCACAGGAAGGCCCAGTCACAGCAGCTCCTTCCCTACCCTCCTGCCAGCTCAATGACACAAGATCTGTCATATCTCAGACATGGCAGGTGACATGCCATCTTTACTCTCAAGCATCCAGACACCCCTGCAAGCAAATGGTGCCCTATTCCTCAGATGTGGAAACTGAGGCTCAGAGGGAAGAAATGACCTGCCAGTAGGAATCAGATGAGGAGAATGGATGACACCCCAGAACAGTGAACCACAGTATGAGGCCTCCCTATAGGACTGATACAAAATTGGTGCACATACCAAACACTATAGAAGTGTCACTTGTTATTGGCTCCATAATTTCCACCTCACACCCAATGGAGGTGCTTCACCATTATTCCCTTAGATTCGCATCAGGGTATGGGGGTTGGCAGCCCAAGGGTAGAGGGAATCTAAAGCATAAACATTTTAAAAATAAAAAATAAATGCCTTCAAAGGCAAAAATGCACTGATGAGCAGCAATGATGGGCAGGGGCTTCTAGACAAGACGCTATGGAGGCCTGGGTTGGGGCAGTAAGGCTGTCCCGACACTCCTTACTTCTGACAGGGTGTAGTGGAGCATTTTCTCTGTGATGGGGGCATCAATAATGGGGTCCAGGCCTGCCTGCTCCTATCTCCTCCCCCTGTTCCCCATGATTCTCACTAAAATTTTTGTGATATCTGTTGTCCTCTCTTGGATAAGTTGAGACCAGCTGCAGTTGACTAGGTCCCCAGGCTTCTCAGTCTCAACACCCTATTGGCTGATTCGCAGGACTTGGTGGACTCCTGGGACCCGCCCCTCCCCATACAGAATCTGTAGGGCTGCAAAGCAGGCCAAGTGGACTGGGACCCACCCTGACTCCCTGCTGTTCCCAAGACTCCACAAAGACTCCACAGCTGGTGGGCAGAGAGACCAGGGGCTCTCCCTTGGGGCCAGGGGCCCTGTCCTGGCCCCAGTGAATCCTACTGTGGCCCAAAGCCCAGGTTCCTCAGTCCCTTGGCCTCAGCATAGGAAGGGGCGCGCCGTGCTCGCTTCCCTCCCCTTCCTGGCTTGGCTCAGGGTTCATCCCATGGGGGCATCCACAAACCTGGGCTCCTTGGCGCGGGGAAAGCCATTATAAAGTTCACTGCTGCTTTGATCCTCAGTGCGCCCTCGCTCAAAGCTAGATGCCTATAGACTACGATAACGCTGAGATTCAGAGACGCCGAGCCCCTGCCTACGTTCACACAGCTGCTCAGTGCTGCGACGCGAGGCGCGCATTTGGCAGACGGGGAGGCTGAGACTCGAGAACAGGTCAGGGGCAGAAGCAGAACCGCAGGCCGGCCAGGGACGCCCGCGGGTCCTGGACGCTCCCTGCCTCATTGCCGCCCATTGAACACCCGGAGGCGAGCCGAGACTTGGTCCTAGGAAAGAAAGCTCCCGCAGGAGCTCCGGGGTGCTTCTGGGGTGAGCACGCCTGCGGCTGGGCCCCCTAAACCCCGGGACAGATCGGGAGCCAGACCCGAACCCGGAGCCCAGGCCCGCGCTCACTTTGGGCTTGTCGAAGGTGGGCCTCTGGGTCATGGTGCCAAGCGTGCGTCTCGGCGCTGCTCCTTCCGCCGAAGGCCGGTGGGTTTCCTCTGGCTCAGTGGCAGGTCCTCTTCCCGGTGGCCCTCACAGCCGGCTGCCCGCCACGCTGCTCTTTACCGGGCCAGGCCCCGCCCTCTCGCAGGCCCCGCCCGCTCGCAGGCCCCACCCGCGCCGCAGCCGGCCCGCGCATTTCCTGGTATTCCAGACCCCGCGTTCTGGTGGGCTGTCACTGACCCGAAACTCCTGCAGAGCCACCTGTGAGCTCGACCGCAGCCGCCTAGCCGGGCTCTGCCGCTTCAAACAACAATCCACGCTTCCACTGCTGCCTGGGCGCCTACTGTGTGCAGGCCAGAGCTAGAGGCGGCCAGGTTGGGGGGGTCGGTGGGGTGAGGGGACCGGTGAGCTTCGGAAGCCTTGGAGGCTTGGGTCTACGTGCTAGATCCAAGCTCGCTGCAGAATCTCTGGACAGAACTGTGTGATTAGAGAGCTCCAATGGAGGGGTCACAGTGGAGAAGCCTCCAGGGCGTTGGGGATGAAAGAAAACCCAGGGTGGCTGGAGACCCCCAGGGGACCAGGACACAGTAAGTCTGAGCAATTACCCGGAGAAACCTGCCCAGACAGAGACCTGTACCAAACGTTCACACCCTCACTGGCTGTAATGGAGGCACCCTAAGGCCCATTCACAGGAGGATGAGCAAATCAACTGAAATATCCACACCGTGGCCTCCTTTACAGCAGTGAAACTGAATGCATTTCAGCCACAGACCCCACCAGGGGCATCTGGTAGCTGGGTGTGGTTGAGCTCACCTATGACTCCAGTGAGTCTGGAGTCTGAGGCAGGAGGATTGCAAGTTGGAGGCTAGTCTAGGCAAATCCCTGTTTAAAAAACAAAACAAAAGCAAGAGGAAAAACAGACATCTACTGATAGATAATGTGAGTTTAAAAAAAAAATCCCGAAAACTACACACACTATGGTGCAATTTTTAGAATAAATAAGAGCAAGACCCAAAATACGCATATTTAGATACACTCATCAGTAAGGAAAAATATAAAGCAAAGGAAAGATAAACATAAATATTAGAAGAACACTATCTCAGGAGTGGAGCACAAAGGGCTGCTCAAGTTATTGGTAGTATTCCAGTCTGGGGTGGGATGCTGGTTTTGCTTCAAAATGATAAATAAATTAACGAATTCATAAATAAGGGGGAAAGAGTGTGGGAGGGTAAGGACTACAGAGTCAGGTGCAAAATAGATCATGTGGGGCCTGTGGGACACAGTGAGGTTTCGTCTTTCCCCCAAGAGTGCTAGGGAATCCATGAAGGGTTTTAAGTGTTTGCAAGCCAGGATCAAGCTTTTATTTGGTGGGGGGGATTCTCCAGCTGCTCAAAGTGTGGCCTGGGAACCATCAGCATCATCATCCCAGGGGAGCTGGGTAGATAGGGACACTCTCAGAGTAAGGCATAGTTAGTGCATGGGAAGGCTGAGGCAGGAGGATTGCAAGTTGAAGGCCAGCTTCAGCAACTTAGATCCTGTCTCAAAATAAACAAATAAAAAGGGGTTGGATACAACTCAGTGGTAGAGTGCTCCTGGGTTCAATCCCCAGTACTGGGGAAAAAAAGAAAAAGAAAACAAATGGACATTCTCAGACCCCATTCTAGATCTATGGAGCCACTATCAGAATGTGTATTTTAACAAGATCCCCCAGGCATTCTGAGTCCACAGCACAGGTTAAGAAGACTTAGTGCCCTTCCATGAAGGGAAGAATTCATTGTTGGAGTTCAGTTAAGAGTCCAAGACCAGAAAGGAGCAACAGCTGTGGTCTGGGTGGAAGATGGTGGTGACAGTAGGGAAGACGGGAGATTCAGATTCAAGCTACATATGTTCAAGCAAAATTAGCTGGGTCTGGGCCAAACGTGGTGGCGCAGGCCTATAATTTCAGCGCCTTGGGAGGCTGAGGCAGGAGGATAGCGAGTTCAAAGCCAGCCTCGGGAAAAGTGAGGTGCTAAGCAACTCAGTGAGACCCTGACTTTAAATAAAATACAAAATAGGGCTGGGGGTGTGGCTCAGTGGTCCAGTGCCCCTGAGTTCAATCTTCTGGAAGGAGAAGGAGAAGGAGAAGGAAAATTAGCTGGACCTGGGGCTGGATTGTATATGGGAATGAGAGAGAGGATCTAAAGTAATCCTTTCTATATATTGTCAAAGCTCCAGAGTCACTTTGTGAAGATCTCTCGGTATAATTCAGGATAAATATTTATGCTGCCATGCTGATAATGCCCTTGGCCCCAGCTACCCTAGGAAGTCCTTTATCCAAACCATCCCATTTAATCTGTCCAGATGCCCTGCAAAGCAGGAACTGTTTTCATTATACAGGTAAGGACACTGAGTCAGAGGGAACAACATGCCTGGCTCATACATTGTAAGTAGAATGCAGAACTGGGATTTGAATTTGAATTTAACTCTAGAATCTCCACCTAATCATCATCTCCTCATCCTGTCGTGACATTCAAGTATCTCTCCAAAATCAGTCCCACAGCTTCCTGGCATGTTCCTAAAACCCTGGTCAACCTGGATGACTTGCAGTTAGTTAAAGGGAGTTCTTTGCTGTTCCCCTCAGTGCGAGGTTGAGTCTAATTTCCTTCCTCTGGCACCTTGGCTGGCTCGAGTGACTCACCGCCTGATAGAACATGGCAGAAGCAATATCCCTGAACATGGAGTCTAGGTCATAAGAAGTCTTTAATTCCACTGGGATTATTAATTCCATTTTACATTCTTTCTAGGAGTCCTGAGCTGCTAGAAGGGACCGTCATCTTGCTAGAGAGCCCACATTCAGCCACTCCAGTTCACAGACCTGCTGAGCCCTGCCCTTCAGTCAAGCCCACCCGGAAGTTGGATATGTTCCTGATGCCATGCTGAACCCTCCAGGTCAGCTGGAAGCCTGACTTTAGTCAATACCATGAAGAATAGAAGTACCCAGCCGAGCCCAGCCCCAACTCCTGGCCTACACAATTGTGATAGCTAGTGAGAGGGTTGTTCTTTTGAGCTAGAATGTTGGGGGTGAGGGGGCAATTTCATCCTAAAACCTGGAAAAACCCTTTTCCCAGATCCTAGGCTACTGGAATTCTGCTTTCTGGGCAGACTAGATACCCAGGAAAGCAGAGTCTGTGTGCTGAGGTCCCCCTGGGTGTTCTCCAGGCGCACTCTACCTTTTGCCACAGCTCTGTGCCCCCAGCCTTGCACTGTGGGTAACACCACAGGCCCCCTTGCCTCTGGCTTCTGGTTTTATTTGGTCAATGATGGGCACAGGCAGATTGGGCGAGAGGGAGGCAGAAGCCAGGTGTTTATTCTCTCTCCCTCCCTGCAGTCATGGGGGTGGTCATGGCTCTGGCTGATGGCAGGCCTTCCTCTCCATACAGTCCCCTCCCTCTCCAGGTCCCCTCCTGCCCTTTCTCCAAGGGTAAAGTTTGTTTGTTTCTTTCTTTCTTTCTTTCTTTCTTTACTAGCCCCCAGTTACTCTATGACCTGTTCTTTCCCTAAACTCAGTTCTCTGGAGTAGGATTTCCCCAGAAGCAGAGACTGAAATAGTTTGGAATGCAAATGGTTTACCTGGGAAGAAATCCCAGGACAAACAGGAGGGATAGAGCAGGAATAAGACAGGGAGTGGGGGAAGCCAGTGGGGGCAGGTTACTACCTCTGCTCCTGGAGCTCAAGGCCCCAGTCAGTCTGGGAGATGATGGTCAATGTGTCTGAGTTACCCCAACTGAGGGGCCAGGAAGCTGCGGGCTTATCCACCCACTCTGGTATTTGCTTTGTGTAGTGCTGGGGATTGAACCCAGGACCTCCACATGTTGGGCAAGGACTCTACCCTTGAGCTCCACCCCCAGGCCTGCTCTGTATTTCCAGGACACTGACTTCCTGGCACTTTCAGTGAGATCAGCATAACTGGCTAAGCTCACTCCCACAGCTGGTTAACACCTGAGGGGAGAGATAGATGATTGATAGATAGATAGATAGATAGATAGATAGATAGATAGATAGATAGATGATAGATAGATATTGAGGCTGAGGCATTAGCAGTAAGTAGCCATTGCCATGTAGCAGTGATGCCAAGGGCACAAGAGCCTCTGGGTAAGACACTGACCTTTTTTTTTTTTTTTTTTTCTATTGTAGTGCATCACCTGGCTCCTACCAGGACCCTGGGTGAGACAAGCTGACCCTGAGTTACTGAGTTACGTCACCCACAGAGGGCACATGTCCACAGACAGCTGGAGGAGGGATGGAGACAGGCACCTTCCCCAGATGTGTTATGCACACGGCATGAGTTGATCTAAGAAGGCATCAGAGCTATGTTCTCACACATGAAGGAATTCTAACTCACATAGCCTTCCTGAAAAATCTAGTCTGAGATGTGACTCACTTTGACGGAACAAAACAAAGCAAAACAAAAACAAAACAGAAATAATGAATCCCAGTGTGAAAGAATACAAGAACACCAGAAAACTGGTCAGGAGTTCTCTCCAGAGAAACCAAGAACTCAGTTGCAAGGATAGCTTTGGTAACACAGTACCAAGACAGCAAATGTAACTGTTAAAGGTGTCAAGGGGAAAAGCTACATGAAAAAATTTTTTTTTCTTTTTACTTTCAAGGAAGATACATTAGTGAGGGTAACCCTAGCTTCTGTAGCACAGAGAATATTACAAATAACCCCCACATGATGCACATAGAGTTCTTGCTGGGATAACAATTCTGGGTGGGAGGCCATGTCCTCTCTACCTTCTGGGATCTCAGGCTGAGCCTGCGGCCTATTGCTCAAGGTCACCTTGCCTGTGATCTTTATTCCATGCAGTCAAGGGGGAGAGAGTATGAGGGCTTGGGGAGACCCAGACTTGGAAGCATTAGGTTTCACTCCAGCCCACCACAGCTTGGGCACCTGGTCATGCAGAGTTGCAAGGGAGCCTGGGAAATGTAGTTCAGCACTCCCAGCAATCCCTGGGAGTGGAGGCACCTTTCCTGAGGAAGACTCTTGTTCCCTTCCCAAGAGACTTGGCATCACATTCCTTGCATCAAAAAGTCAGGTGGCCTTGGCTAATCTTGATAATCTAATCAAGATAGCTAATCTGTTCCTATCCCCAATGCCAATTTTCTCTCCAGATCTGCTGCCCTAGTCTGGGGCCTGGTGGAGAGAAGAGTATTTGTGTGTTGGAGAAATAGCAGAATGTAAGTGGGTAGTTCAGACCATTGTCCTGGGGTGCAGCAGAAGCCCTCATGGGCAGCAGGACTCCTGCTGCCTGGGTTAAGGGAGGGCATTTGATGCCTAAGGGTGAGGATTTCCAGGTGTCTGCAGTCATGCCTCCCTACCACACACATCCATACAAAAGATCACAATAGCTTTATTTATTGAGCACCTATTATGTGCTGGTCACCCTGAGAGGGGATCACATGTATTATTTCATCTTGTCTTCCCTGTTAGGTGGACACCATGATTAGCCCCATCACTGGGGGAAGAACCAAGGCTCAAAGTGGGCAAAGCTGATGAGAAGTGCAACTGGGGTTGGGTGTGAATGTGCTAGATGTCAGAGCCAGTGTGCTTGTTTTCTGTCAGCATCAGAAGAAAGCAAGTTAGGTTGGACAGGAGCCTGGTGGCAGGAAGAGGCGTGGGCAGGCAGGAGTCCTGGGTTGGGTTTGCATCCTGGCTCTGCTCTGGCTCCATGTGGCTGAGGGTGGGTCCCCTGTTTGTTCAGCTCACAGTCTCCTAGGCTGGCTCTGTTCCAGGCACTGACAATAGAGGGGAAACCCACTCTAGTTGCTCATGGTGCAGCAGGGAACCAGCTCCCCAATTTGACACAGTATGACTGTAGCTGAAAGCTCTGTCCCTGTCCCCAATGCCAATCAATGCCGATTTAATAATGAGGACACAGTTTTGAGAAAAAGGAAAAAAAGGTTTATGGCTTTGCTAGCAAAGGAAAAACATAAGGGACTCCTGTCCCAAATCAGGGGGGACAGAGGAGTTTTAAAGGAACCTTAAGGGTTACATTCCAGGTATGCTGTGGTAGGGGGTCCCAGGTCTCCCTAATGGCATGATAGGATTCATTTGTTAGAGAGTGAGAAAGAGAGAGAATTTTTTTAATATTTATTTTTTAGTTTTCGGCAGACACAACATCTTTGTATGTGGTGCTGAGGATCAAACCCAGGCCACACGCATGCCAGGCGAGCATGCTACCACTTGAGCCACATCCCTGGCCTTGGATTCATTTGTGAATTTGGGAGATAGTCACTTCCCAGATCTCCAGCAGGCATCTGCTTCCTGTAGTGGGTGTGTGGGAGGGCAGTTAACTAGGGGAGGAAAAGGTAACCCTGTCTGCCTAATCTTGTTAGGGGAGAGGGAAGAAAAGAGAAAAAAGTATTTTTTAAAAAAATAAGCCTCAGAGCAATGAGGGCTACATTCAGAAAGTGAAAGGATCACTGTTAGGAGACAATGGTTGTAAATATTTCCTCCTCCTTGTCTCTAGTGTTTTTTCTCTATGAAACTGAGCAGGGTTAGGAGATCAGAGGTTGCAAACTCAAATGTTGACAGACAGGTATGGAATGCAGATGATCAGGAGTCTCAGCTCCCCCACTCACAGCTCTGTGGCTTTCAGCAAATCCTTCTAAATCTTGGTTTACTCTTCTGGGGAGTGGGGATAGCACATATTCATGCTAGCTCATGGGATAAGCCATGGATGTCCTCAATTCATGAATAACCTGTGGACATCCCTGGTTCATAAGATAACACATAGACAACTTTCTAGCAAGACCCTAGCTCCAAATTAAAAAAAAAAAAAAAAGTGCTAGGGGATGTGGCTCAGTGGTTAAGTGCCCCTGGGTTCAATTCAAAAAAAAAAAACTGTACACCAGATAGTCCTTGGACATGTAGACTCCATACACTTAAGGTCCCTGCTGATTCTCATAGGATGTCTCAATGAAAAGAGAACAACAGGGAGATTGTCCTTCAACTCATAACAGATAGGATTAGCATCACTGGCACACAAGAGAAACCCTCCAAAGAATAGTAGTAAAAACAAGATAGAAGTGTATTTCTCTGACATATTAAAGAAGCCCAGAGACAGCAACACAGGGCTGGTAGGGCAACCCCATGAAGATGGCACCTTCCATCTCTCTGCTGTCATCCCTGTGTGCAGCCACTCTCCTCATTGTCTAGATGGCTGCCCGAGCAGTGGCCATCTCATTTGCTGTTCAGAGATCAGAGTGGAAGAAGAAGAGAAGCTGCTATGCCTCTTTGAAAGCTCCAGGTCCCTAGATTTCTTTACAACTTCTACTTGTAAAATCACTTGGCCCAAATAATTGCAAAGAGACTGGGAAATGTCTTTCGGCCGGAAAGCAAGGTACCCAGATAAAAAGGGAGGCTCTGTTACTAAAGAAGAGAATAGTAGATACATACTGGAAGGCCACCAGCCATTTCTGCCACATTAAGTAACTCAGAGGGTGAGGAGGGATGTGTGGATGAGTGGAAGGCTGGTTAATAGGAAACCAGGTGCTACTCTCCATGTCACCTGTTCATGTTTATGTCTTTGAGCCTCCTTGTGACCGAGAGAAGAGTAAGAGAGCAAAACAGAAAAGGCCATCTGAGTGCTAAGGAGCTGAATGTGCCAGCCAGTCCTGAGCCCTATGTGAACATCACCTCAGATTACCCTTCCAGACTCTCCAGCCAGGGAGTCCCTGCCATGGTGGGGAGGGGTTTCATCTTGTCTGTGCCAACTGGGGTAGGGGACCTAGATGCCCAATTGCTCCTGGAGTGATAACCAACCAGCAGTTTGCAGTCCTGCCCGCACCTCAAGGTCCTGGTCCCTCCAACCTCCAAACCTCTCTGAGGTTCTTCAAGCTGTCTTGGGTCCCGATGGCTCTCCTCACAGCCAGGGGTCACCCTCCTCTGTCCCTTGCCAGTCCCCCTTACCATCTGCTTCCTAGCATCCAGAATTTGGTTGCTTCCTCTTGTTGGGTGTTGCGGGCTCGCATGTCATCTTTGTCCTGGTAGATGAGCATTTCCAAACATCTGGATGTGTCATTTTCTTGGAGTTCCAGAGGAGAGTGCACATAGATAAATGTGTGCAATCTGCCACTTGGAACCAACAGCCTTTAGCCTGAGCCCTTGACTGGGGATCCCTCAGCCCCAGGATGGTGTCACAGTCCTCTCTCCCCGTACTTTCCTTCCTGGCTCTGGTAGCCCCTGGGGAACCCTCAGCACACAGAACTTTTTCTTCCCTCTGAGACCAGGCATAGTTCTGCCCAGCTCCTGCTCATCCTGCTTCTCAAGGGCAGGGCCTTGATGGGACTGGGCAGGCCTCAGGCCGGTGGGTCTAAGTCCATGGCCTGGCTCACTCCTCAGATGTCAGTTTGGGCTTTAGTGAGTTCAAATTCAAAGCTGGACATGACAGTAATTTCTCAATTAGAATAACAGAGTTAATCTCCCTGCAAATGTATATTCCCACTGTAGTTGGTTATATTCCCACTTACCTCTCTCTATTTTTTTAACCCAGGGGCACTCTACCACTGATCTATATCTCCAGCCCCTTTTGAATTTTTTTTTCTCTTTTTGAGACAGTCTCACAAAGTTGCTCACACTTGCCTCAAGTCTTGCCTCAGAAGTTGTTGGGATTCCAGAATTGCGCCACCAGAATGTTTACCATAAGTGAAAACAGGCTGTTGAGTGACATATTCTCTTCTTATTGACTGAAAGGACTTAACAAATAACTTGCTGTAGCCCTCGTGTTGTTCCACTGTTGTTGTTTGGATCTATAATATGAGACCCCACAGGTGCCATCTTGGAGCACTTATTCTGGGAAACTAGACTGTTTTCCCAGATGTCCATTCTCACTCTTGGCTCAGAGGAAATCCTTCTTTTATTGACTTGTAGAAGATTTTGTGTTTCAAGGTAACATTGCTTGCAACCACGATGGGATCTTGGAGCAAATCTTCCCCTCAACTCTGGCAGCCCACCTTGGACTCCGTTTTCAAAGTTTCCATCCATGATAAGTTTTGCTATGGGCTTCTGGCAGGAATCATGGCAGGATGCATGTTAGAGCAAAACCACCCACTTCATGGCCAGAAAACAAAAGAGAGGAAGTCCTACTACCTCCTTCCAGGGCACACCCCCAATGACCTGGAGACCTCCCATTAGGCCCCACCTCTAAATCCTTCATTGCCTCTCAATAGCACATGGACCTCTGTGGGGACACAAGGATCCTAACTATAGTAATGGGGTCCCAGAGGGGTGAGACATTATAGGGGTGAATTTCTCATGAAACCTGAGCCTCCAAAATTTTTTAGTGGCGGTTACATCATCATTAGACTCATGAGGCACTAAGTTCAGTCTCTGTCTCTGCTGGGGGGATGGCCATTGCCTCCTTTCCCAGGATTAGGGTAACTTAAAATCCTAAAATAAGGCTTTCTTTTTCTTGCCCGTAGGGGTTCTTATGTGCACAGATAAGGTAATTAGGATTGTTTCAGTAATCTGTTTCATTAGACCTGTCTCTGGACAGCGACCAACCTATGCTCCTTGTCATCACCACACATGAGCCCTGCTGCAAAAAGGAACATTGCCCCTTCCACACCAAAAGTGTGTCCTAGATGACTAGAGCCTCAGTGGAAAGGTTGAGGTGTTGGTCTGTGGCCTGCTGTGGTCTCGTGGGTTCTGCCACCAGAAGAACATCTTTAGGAAACTTTCGGCTCTCCAGGAGGTGCATGTAGTGGCTGCTA